TCAATCCTAAAGGTGCTAACAAAGTGTGCAAGCTCCAGCAATCCATCAATGGACCGGTGCAAGCATCTCGGAGTTGGAATATATGCTTTGATGAGTTGATCAAAGCATATGGTTTTATGCAGACTTTTGGAAAGGCCTGTATTTACAAGAAAGTGAGTGGGAGCACTACAGTCTTTCTGATAAGTATATGTGAATGACATATTGTTGATCGGAAATGATGTAGAATTTTCTGGAAAGCATAAAGGAGTGTTTAAAAGGAGTTTTTCAAAGAAAGACCTCAGTAAAGCTATTACATATTGAGCATCAAGATCTATTGAGATAGATCAAGACGCTTGATAAGATTTTCAATTAGTACATACCTTGACAAGATTTTGAAGTAGTTCAAAATGGAACAGTCAAAGAAAGAGTTCTTGCCTGTGATGCAAAGGTGTGAAGTTGAGTAAGACTAAAAACCCGACCATGGCAGAAAATAGAAAGAGAATGAAAAAGTCATTCCCTATGCCTCAGTCATAGGTTCTATAAAGTATGCTATGCTGTGTACCAGACCTATTGTATACCTTGCTCTGAGTTTGGCAAAGGAATACAATTTTGATCTAAGAGTAGATCACTGGACAACAGTCAAGAATATCCTTAGTCGGGACTAAGGAGATGTTTCTCGATTATGGAGGTGATAAAAAGAGTTCGTTGTAAAGAGTTACATCGATGCAAGCTTTTACACCGATCCAGATGACTCTAAGTCTCAATCTGGATACATATTGAAAGTGGGAGCAATTAGCTAGAGTAGCTCCGTGCAGAGCATTATAGACATAGAATATTTGCAAAATACATACGGCTCTGAATGTGACAGACCCGTTGACTAAACTTCTCTCACGAGCAAAACATGAGCATACCTTAGTACTCTTTGGGTGTTAATCACATAGCGATGTGAACTAGATTATTGACTCTAGTAAACCCTTCGGGAGTTGGTCACATGACGATGTGAACTATGGGTGTTAATCACATACAGATGTGAATATTGGTGTTGAATCACATGATGTTGTGAACTAGATTATTGACTCTAGTGCAAGTGGGAGACTGAAGGAAATATGCCCTAGAGGCAATAATAAAGTTATTATTTATTTCCTTATTTCATGATAAATGTTTATTATTTGTGCTAGAATTGTATTAACCGGAAACATGATACATGTGTGAATACATAGACAAACTGAGTGTCACTAGTATGCCTCTACTTGACTAGCTCATTAATCAAAGATGGTTATGTTTCCTAGCCATGGACAAAGAGTTGTCATTTGATTAACGGGATCACATCATTAGGAGAATGATGTGATTGACTTGACCCATTCCGTTAGCTTAGCACTTGATCGTTTAGTATGTTGCTATTGCTTTCTTCATGACTTATACATGTTCCTATGACTATGAGATTTATGCAACTCCCGTTTACCGGAGGAACACTTTGTGTGCTACCAAACGTCACAACGTAACTGGGTGATTATAAAGGTGCTCTACAGGTGTCTCCGAAGGTACTTGTTGGGTTGGCGTATTTCGAGATTAGGATTTGTCACTCCGATTGTCGAAGAGGTATCTCTGGGCCCTCTCGGTAATGCACATCACTATAAGCCTTGCAAGCAATGTGACTAATGAGTTAGTTACGAGATGATGCATTACGGGACGAGTAAAGAGACTTGCCGGTAACGAGATTGAACTAGGTATTGAGATACCGACGATCGAATCTCGGGCAAGTAACATACCGATGACAAAGGAAACAATGTATGTTGTTATGCGGTTTTGACCGATAAAGATCTTCGTAGAATATGTGGGAGCCAATATGAGCATCCAGGTACCACTATTGGTTATTGACCGGAGACGTGTCAAGGTCATGTCTACATAGTTCTCGAACTCGTAGGGTCCGCACGCTTAAAGTTCGATGACGGTTATATTATGAGTTTATGTGTTTTGATGTACCGAAGGCAGTTCGGAGTCCCGGATGAGATCGGGGACATGACGAGGAGTCTCGAAATGGTCGATACCTAAAGATTGATATATTGGACGAATATATTCGGACATCGAAAAGGTTCCGAGTGATTCAGGTATTTATCGGAGTACCGGAGAGTTACGGGAATTCGCCGGGGAGAAGTATTGGGCCTTATTGGGCCATACGGGAAAGAGAGAGGGGCTGCCTAGGGTAGGTCGCGCGCCCCCGCAAGGCCTAGTCCGAATTGGACTAGGGGGAGTGGCTGCGCCCCCTCCTTCCTTCCCTTCTTTCTTCCCTTTCCTTGACTCCTACTCCTACTACATGGAAGGGGGAAATCCTACTCCCGATGGGAGTAGGACTCCCCAGGGCGCGCCATAGAGAGGGCGGGCCCCTCTCCTCCTCTCCTCCTTTATATACTGAGGCAAGGGGCACCCCATAGACACAACAATTGATCCCTTGGATCTCTTAGCCGTGTGCGGTGCCCCCCTCCACCATAGTCCACCTCGATAATATCGTAGCGGTGCTTAGGCGAAGCCCTGCGTCGGTAGAACATCATCATCGTCACCACGTCATCGTGCTGACGAAACTCTCCCTCAAAGCTCGGCTGGATCGGAGTTCGAGGGACGTCATCGAGTTGAACGTGTGCTGAACTTGGAGGTGCCTTGCGTTCGATACTTGATCGGTCGGATCATGAAGACGTACGACTACATCAACCGCGTTGTGCTAATGCTTCCGCTTTCGGTCTACGAGGGTACGTGGACACACTCTCCCCTCTCGTTGCTATGCATCACCATGATCCTGTGTGTGCGTAGGAAATTTTTAAAATTACTACGTTCCCCAACAAGATATCCATCCCCAGAGCCCCCCCCTCCCCCAAAAGTTGGGGGCCAGGGGCCCAGACCGATCCGACGTGATTTGGTGATCCGTGTTGGAGGGCCAAAAGTGACCGTCCACTTTGGACATTTTGGGCCGATTTAAGGATCCGCATTGAAGATGCCCTTAAAGCATCTTTGGACCTTCCCTAAAATGATTTAACTTCCAAAAAATGGTTTTGTTTAGGAGTTAACACCAACTAGTTCTTCCCCTTAAAATTTTAACCCCCTAAAATTTGAGAAGTTGATCCTCAAATCCACCCCTCCTACTCAGACTTGAGCAGAAAGCACCCCCTCCCCAAACATGATTACTTGTGAGAAACTTAGAAAATCGCTTCACATATCACACTCCTCTACCCCCAAGAGTCCATCATTTTAATTACCTATCCCCATAGATGGATCACCTCCCACCCCTTCCACAGAATCATGCACAAACATAATTTGAAGGCTTGCTTAGAATGTTTAAAACCTAGACAAACTGCTTTATGTCTACGAAGTATTTCGGAAATGGCGGTCATTCTACACAAGACTATACACGAAGTAGAGAAAAATAATTCAACTTCCATCGTCCAATAAGAAAATTGATTTAAAAAGCTTACTACAAAATCAGCATTCTTTGTTGGAGTCTAAAATTAAATGATGTTCTCCCACCTTGCATAACTGGATATACATTCTTGTCAAGAATGACACGGTTAAATGATGACAAACATGGTTACTTGCAAACTAAGAAAGATTGGGACAAGGACATCATATGTCTCCCACATGTTGGCTACATGTCTGATAGTCGCCTATGTTGACTATTACTCTGGCGCAAAACAAAGATACTACTCCCTCCGTCCGTAATGTAAGACATTTTTTGACATTACACTAGTGTCAAAAACCGTCTTACATTATGGGACGGAGGGAGTAGCAAATAATTAAAGATGTAGGGAATATTTGGTTTGTGACTAATATTGCCAAAGATTGTCACATTTAGGGTTAGGCAAATTTAATCAACTTAAATGTGTGTTTAGTTTAAGCCACATTTTAGACAAGTCACACTAAAGCCCCACATGGTATATACACAAAAGGTGTGGCAAGATTTCCTTAAGTTTGCCAATTTATGGCTCACTTTGTTGAACTAAGTTTAGGCAAGCTTGATAAAAATATGTAGTAAAGTGTGGCAATACAAGACCTAGAATCAAACAGCTCCGTAGTGTCTCATTCTGTAATAGAATTTGTTCATTGTAGTGTCTCAGTCCGTAGAAGAGTTTGTCCATTGTTCAGCGCACATGCACTTTATCTTTATGGGCCATCATTTCGAGGGCTCGTTCGGTTTGAAGGAAATCAAAACATAGAAACTAAGAGTCGTATAGAAAACGGGTAAGATTGCACTTGTCATTATAAGGAATTGACTTGCCTCGTTCCTACGCGCAAAATAAGCTTTGATTGGATGTGTAGTATTCTTAAAAACACAAAAAATGGGTAACATTCCTGTACGCATTCTTACGAAAATCCTCCAAACTGACCGAATGAGGCATGAGAGAGCTTTTAGCAACTGTCTATGACTTCTAAAATAAATTTGAAAAATGAGGATATCTGTTTCGGAATGCATATCATTCTATTGCAATAGTGACTAGTAGAAAGGAGGCTGCAATAGTGACTAGGAGAAAGGAGGCCAGTACAGATATTCATGCATGCTAACCATCCGGTGTAGACTACACCTGTTTGCGATACGATCCTCCGTGGATCTTTAAACCATTCAAGAAAGCGGCTCAAGCGGCTCAACAGTAGAATTACGCACATTGTAACAGTGATAAACAATGTCAACATACCACCCCCATGTTCATCTCAAAAAAAAAAAAAACATACCACCCCCATGTTGCCAGATGCAACCAGACCAACAGCCGATAATATCCAACACAAGGGTTTTCCACTGATAACATTACCATCTCAGAAACTTTAGGTATGGAGCGCTTCATTTCCCAACTGCTCCTGAACGGCTGAACGTTCTGCTACCCAAAGTCAAGGCAACAAACAACATGACTAAGTTTCGGACATCGCACCACAGTAATAAAACAATGTGGCGCTAGGAACACTGCATATTACAGGGTAAACCCCTCCTATACAACCAAAAAAGTATACAACACTGTATATTGGTCATAGCTGGATGTGGCTCATGACGAGCAGGATAGCATGCACACCCCAGGCCTGTATGCCCAGGCCGGTGGCAAGCGGGCGTATTTCTCCATTCCCGGCTGCTCATCATATGGATGTTCCATAACTTTCAATAGCCGGCGAACTTCCTCGTAATCACCTAGATCAGCTGCGTCAATCGCTGTCTGGCAGAGATAGTTCCGAAGAACATACTTTGGGTTGACACGGTTCATTGTGGCTTTCCTTTCTTCATCGGAGACACCACTAGCCACCAGCTTCACAAAGCATCAACATATCATTAGATTGAAGTTGTTTAGGTTTTTAACAGTGTTGTGATTTAAAAGATCCAACTATAAGGCATGACTAGAGGTCCAAAACCAAATACTGGCACAAACTTATCAAATGGTGGGTGGAACAACAGTCAGTAAGGGGGTTCATTACAGGAAAACATTGTGGCAACAGGAGGTAGAGAATAACAGAATCTTAGAACTTCTGCCATGCCGATGACACTTAATTTACAATGCACGAGTTATTATAAAAGACGATTATGTGATGAGATTCCCAAACTATGCAAATGCAATGCTGCTTTTGTTTCCAAGAGTATCCCAGCTTGTTCTCAAAGAACAAAAGAAAAAAATACTCCAACTTCATAAAATGATCAGGCTGAGAAAATAGCCCAAAAATAGCAATATAATCATTGATATATTATGTCATGTTAAATATTACTATCCGAGCAATTTGGGAAGAGAACAATTTTATATATACAAAAATACATACCTCCTCAACATATGTTTGTACCCAACTAATCCATGCTTCCTTTCTTTCTTTCCCAATATCCAGGAGTGCAGCTTTTATGGGAACAAGTAGCTCAGTTTCTGCGATGTCACGGTCTGCTTTGACATTCGAAAGAAGACGGAAAAAATTTGTATAGTCAACTTTATCGACAGCCAAGTTGTTCAGCAGCTTGCTAATAAGCTGCTTGTTATATTTTGACAGACCAAGTTTCTTTGTCATTATAGATTGATATTCATCCATGAACTTTGTCCCATACCTACAATATAGAACATATCAAAACGCTACAATAAATGTAGTCAAAATTGCAGATGGCCAGCATAGATTTTGGAAGAATAAATACCTCTCCATAACATAATTTGCTTCATCCTTGCTGATAAGATCCGCAGCCGACAATGGCCCAGTGAACTGGGCAATATTCCACAAACCAACATCAGGTTGATTTGCAAAACAGTATCTCTTACCTGGGAGATCAGTTGTATTCGGAGTAAAGCTAGGATCAAAAGCATCCAAGAAACCAAAGGGTCCATAATCAATAGTTAGGCCCAACACACTCATATTATCAGTGTTAAGCACACCATGGGTGAAACCAACACCTTGCCACCTGGCTATCAAGTAAGCAGTACGCTCTGCAACCTCAACTGCCCAGGCTGTTAATTGCAAGGAGATAGAAGTTAGTTAATTCACAAGATCAATGTCTACATTCAAAGAAAACGACATAAAAGGAAATTTACCAGCATATTTGTTGGAAGTAAGATCTATTGCTGGAGAGTCTCCTATAGCTGCCTCAAAAGATAAACCTTCACTCTTTTTAATATTTTCAAGATGTGGGTAGTGATGACGTATTGTGTAGTCTGCCAAACGACGAACAATTTCAAGGTCCTCTTTGCCCCTTGTAGTATGTAACTGGTATGAACCAAAACGTAAAAACGATGGTGCTACACGGCACACAATTGCACCTGGCTCCTCTTTTGCATTACCACTGGCATATTAGAAAAAACAAATTATTCAACGACACAAGGGAATGTCAATATGTAGTACTGAAATCTTCAAGAGATAAATCATGGCAAAATGATTCAGATTCCTATATTTTAGATCAATAAATACTGGACGAGTAAACACCCAGGTACCATCATGTGCAACATGCTTTGCCTGCCTACATTTGCAGAGTAGCAATTAAGTAACTTATCCTAGTTCCCAGAGGCTGCTTTGGAATATCCCAGGGAATTGATGATAATAAATCAACATTACGAAATTTGGCGCTTCAAAATAATAGGCCTACGTAAGTCAGGATGAGTAAATAAAGTAATTATTATTAGATAAGGAAACCATTAGTAGGCAAACAAAAGGACTTTGGAATTTTAGATGGCAGTGTGATAGTACTAATTATATGTTCATACGGATTATGTAGCTACTAGTATAAGAAATGAACCGTCTCAAAGCAGCAACTACGAATCATCCAAATAGGAAGGGAAACTAAAAGCAAAAGTAGATCCAGCAAAAATGTTGATTAGAAACTGAAGATATCATGACATACTCATAGAACATATCTCGCACAACAGATTTGCCAGTTTCAACTAGACAAAGAGCACGAGTTGTAGGAATGCCTAGACCATGCATAGCTTCACTGCATAAGAATTCACGGATGCTGCTGCGCAGGACAGCGAGGCCATCTGCAAATCGGCTGTAAGGAGTCTTTCCAGCACCCTTGAGCTGCAACTCCCACCTCTCACCTCGAGAATTGAGAACCTCTCCGAAAGTTATTGCTCGTCCATCCCCCAACTGACCAGCCCATGAACCAAACTGGTGTCCACCGTAACACTGGGCATAAGGCACACTGCAGGTGGTTGTTCAGTAGGAGTGTTATATATTCTGACGAAACAAATTAGCAAGATATTAAGCACAGGTATCACACACCTTCCCACCAACGGAGTTTCTCCTGAGAAGAACCGAGGAAAATCAGGCCTTTCAAACCTGAAAATGAATAGAGGATAATTGTTATTTTTGTGATTTTTCTATGTCCAATATCAGCAAGGATGCAGAAAAATGTTATGAGAAATGGATGCCATTGGGCAGGGAGTTAAAATA